ACGAAAAGTACGTAACGAATCACGTGACTCAAACGTTGTTTTGTTTTGTTTTGCTTTCAAACGCGCTCCTTTTTCAGATTTGAGTGAAGCAAAATGGGTTTTAAAGTGGTCACTTGGAACATCAATGGACTGCGATCGTTTGGTGGAGTGCAAGCATGGCGGAGCATATTCACTGCTCTTGAAGCAGACGTTGTTTGCATGCAAGAGACGAAAATTAACCGTCTGTATCACTTGATTGCGCTACTGAGATTGCCAAAATACTGATGATACTTTGATTTGACATGTAGGTTCTGCCGTCGAAGAGTGGATGGCATTTGTGCCCGACTTCACTTCTTACTTTGCCTTCCCTCGCGGTCAGCTGCAGACATCAGGCTTTAATGGTGTGGCCACGTTTTGTCGGGAGTCTGCCGGAGTTCGTCCTTCTCATGCCGAAGTTACCTTATTTCTTGATGCGTGTGAAATATTTACCAAGAGTTTGAGTGCATTTGAATTTGATACGCTGGATGAGGAGCATCAGTTTGCTACTGGATGGCCTGATGTTTACGCTCAACAAAGCCAAATCGGGTTGCCGCTCAGTCAGCTCGGTGTACACATGTGGAAAATAGTTGATAGCGAAGGACGCTGTGTCATAACCAAACATACTTTTACAATTGATGAAGATGATTCCCCGAAAAGTTTATTTATTTTCAACGTTTACTGTCCCAGAAAGGACGACGCCAGGCCTGAAAGGCAACACTTTCAACTGCGCTTTTATCAATGTCTGGAAAAGCGCGCACTNTGATTCCCCGAAAAGTTTATTTATTTTCAACGTTTACTGTCCCAGAAAGGACGACGCCAGGCCTGAAAGGCAACACTTTCAACTGCGCTTTTATCAATGTCTGGAAAAGCGCGCACTACAACTTCTCAAGTTTGTTTTGTACTTATTACTTTGGGTTTAATTTAAAACCACTTTTATTATTTTAGAGAATCTTCCGAAAACTACATGATCATTTTGGGAGATTACAACACAACACATCAGTCAATCGACGTCTACGATGACGACCAGTGGTGCTACAAGGATNGTTTAATTTAAAACCACTTTTATTATTTTAGAGAATCTTCCGAAAACTACGTGATCATTTTGGGGGATTACAACACGACACATCAGTCCNAAGGACGACGCCAGGCCTGAAAGGCAACACTTTCAACTGCGCTTTTATCAATGTCTGGAAAAGCGCGCACTACAACTTCTCAAGTTTGTTTTGTACTTATTACTTTGGGTTTAATTTAAAGCCACTTTTATTATTTTAGAGAATCTTCCGAAAACTACGTGATCATTTTGGGGGATTACAACACAACACATCAGTCAATCGACGTCTACGATGACGACCAGTGGTGCTACAAGGACTCCTGTTCTCGGAAATGGCTTTCAGAACTTCTCAGCAAAAAGCAGGACGATTCTTCTGACCAGTTTCTCTTCTTTGACGCCTTTCGTCACCTGAATCCAAATGAAGAAAAATCTTTCACCTGCTGGAATGTGAAACTCGACTGTAGGAAAACCAACTTCGGAAGTCGGCTTGACTACATCGTCATCGACCATAAACTGCTGCCGCATTTGACCAAGTGCACCCCGCTCTCTGACTTTCTCGGCTCTGACCACTGTCCAGTTGTGGCTGAATTCGATGATCGTCTACACTTCACACCAAGTGACGAGTACAGTGAGCACTGCACAAAGATGTGGCCAGAGTTTGGCCTCGCCAAACAGACCTTGATCAAGAGCTTTTGCGTGAGCCGAGAGGAGGCAGAGAAGGCGAGGTTGCTGAAAGCGGCACAAACCAAAAGACTTTCATCACCAGATGAGCAGCAAACTGAGTATCCATCCACAAGTGGTCAGAGTAGNCAAACCAAAAGACTTTCATCACCAGATGGGCAGCAAACTGAGTATCCATCAACAAGTGGTCTGAGTAACAACAATAACAAAAAAGTAAAGAAAAATCCTTCCACTTCTAAGCCAGCTGGGCAAACTTCAGTTCGCAATTACTTTACATCTTTCAAATTAAGTGCCAAAGAAGCGGACCAATCTGAAGCACCGAAAGGTGCTGATTTATCACCAAAGAAAAGCGTTCTAACAGAAATTTCTCAGGCGTCCTCTNATTAAGTGCCAAAGAAGCGGACCATTCTGAAGCACCGAAAGGTGCTGATTTATCACCAAAGAAAAGCGTTCTTACGGAAATCTCTCAGGCGTCCTCCTCTACAGCTTCTTCATCTGGCGAAAAATCTCCTCAACCAGACAAGCAGCCGTCTTTAGCTGGCAAGTGGGCGGCCATTTTCAGCCAAGCGCCACCACCTCTTTGTGCTGGCCACAATTTACCTTGCGTCAGGCGAAAGGTTCGTAAGGAAGGCCCCACGCAAGGCAAGGAGTTTTTCGCCTGCCAAAAGAGCTCCGTCGGTCCTAAAGATCACCCGGATAGTCGGTGTAACTTTTTTCAGTGGGTTAACTCGGCCAGCAAAAACACCAAACCAGGTGGGAAGCAAGTGCTGAGCAGTCCACTCAAAGTACCCGAGGACATTAACGACTTGTGGAGAGAAGAATAAGTCGATATACAATCTTTTTTACTCGTTTTTATTGAAAATACTGCTTACCTCAATATCAACTGATGCACATGTATAAATATTCATCTCGTTTTCAGTGTATAATCAAAATAAATAAAAGTAGTATTCAAGTAACATGATGATTCAATCATTGAGAAGAAAACAAAAAAGTCAAAGAAAAGAAAATAAATAAAATAAAACTAAAAGAAAAGCGTAACGGTAAATAGAGCCATTGTCGTCTAAAGGGGTGAAAAGCAAAGAAAACATATACTTGGTAGTAAAAGAAGAATAAGAAGAATTGCACTTGGAAACAGGACTCGCAAAGGCTCTACGAAGTGCAATTACACTTTGGAGAGAAAGTCCTGAGAAATGTGAGGTGTTAAGAAGAGGTGAAGGGGGAAATAGTGATTAGTGGATGAAGTTAGCAAGTGAGCAAATGAGCATAGTTCGAGTTAGTAAGGCGCAATCTGCGGATAGCTGCTTTCAAAGAGCTTTCAAGAGAGGGTGAAGAGGGTGAACGAAAAAATGGAAAATGGTGCGCAGATGATTTAGGAGTTGATTGTCTCCTTTCAGTTGCTTCAAAAAGTCTCATTCTCGGTGCAGTTCGCCAGCTCGTGGCCAAACTGTTCACACTGCGTACAGTAGGGGCGCACCTCGTGGCGGCCGATGCTGTTGTAGGTGTGTCCTGGCTCCTGCTGCTGAAGTCCACTGGCTGACGACGGTCCCGAGGAGGCCTGCTGCGGACAGTCCTCGGTGTCGTGCGAGTCGAAGACCTCGCAGATGTCGCAGTACTTGCGAATATTGCGTATGTGGCCGTTGGTCATGGTGCCGGCGCTGGCGGTGGAGGTCGCAGAGCGACGAGCAGTGGTCTCCACCTGCGACTGAAAGGAGTGCTCAAACTCGCCAAGACCTAGAAAAGAAAAAAATAATGTTATAAAAACTGTGTTTTAAAATCTTCTTCAGCACTCTTACCAATCTCCTCGAGGACCTGCACTCGATTGCGCAGCTCATCATTCTTCTTCTGCATGTCGACGATGACCGAGTTGAGGAACTCCACCTGCTGCTCATAGCTGCCCATGTCCTCCTCGATGCGTCGCTGCTGTTCCGCCTGCAGCTGTCTCGCCTGGTCGCGAATCTTCCCCTCCAGCTCATCGAGCTTCGCCTCCATCAGCCGCTTCTCTGTCTCCGCAATGGAGCGGTACTCCTCCAGGGCGATGTTCTGTCGGTGCTCCAGGTGCGACAACTCCTCATATCGGTTGAGAGCCATCTTCTCTGCCGCGTCGGCACGCGCCTCAGTGCGCTTGCACTCAAACTCAAACTCATTGAGCACCTCGGTGTGGCGGCGTTTCAATCCTGTGGAAAAAGGTGTGGTGGTTGGTTAAAGTGAATTAAAGTTGCACAAAGGAGAGTGAATGTTGGTAATTGGTAAAAAAGGGTTTGATTCAAAGCGGTCAGTGCAAAGGAAAGAAAGTAAAAAGAAAGGGTTAACTGGTAAAAAGAGTGATCATCATCATTACTGACAAAAAGAACAGCAAAAGAGGTTAGCTTGAGAAAGAATGAAAGAATATAAAGCTTTAATTGGTAAGTTGGAAAGTGAAAGATAGAAGATATGGCACAGGTATAGAGAAAGAGAGCGAAACATAACAATTAGGCGTATTGCATTGCATCCATCAGAGAGAGCCCCAACTTCCTAAGTAGGCGCACAGTTTGCAGAGATAGTGGTACACTAGAGAAGCAACTAGAAGGAAAAGGGCAACTGCAACTAACAGAGGGCCACCGGTCAGTGATTGGGTGGCCGTCGTTGTCGTTGCCGTCGTTGATCGTGAAACCTCAATTTGAGGCGACGAGGCTGTTGTAGCAGCAACATCAACCTCGTCGGTGTGGTCAGTAGAAGCAGTGATTGTGGCTGTGGTTAGTGGTGAAATAGTAGAAGGAGCAGAGGAGATATTAGTGGTTAGTGGTTTAGCTTTTGCAGCATCAGTCGCAGTGGCAGTCGCAATCGCAATGGCAGCAGCAGCTTGTGCTTCAGGGCTTTCTGCATAAAAAATAAGTATACCATATCACTAGGGAAAGAGACATTAGGTTGCGGTGGCAACTGGTGTATTTACTGGGATGGGAGGAAGGGAGGGAATGGAAGGGAAGGGTGGTGGAAAGTAGACACAGACAGAGACTGTCTGGGGCAGAAAATGAAAAACACAACAAACAAACAGAAAACAGTTTGATGATGATGATGATGGTGATTGGGAGGGGAAAGGCATTGGTGCAAATGGGAAAATGGAGAAAGTGTGTGGCGAGTGCTAATGAAACACAATGTCTAAGAAATGAAAAGTACTTTTCTAGAGAATCGCGCAAATTAAAGTGCAAGCATTCTACAGCAAAAACGGCAGCGGCGGCGGCTGCAGACAAAACTTTAAAAGATTAACGCCAAAAAATGATAAATGTGAAATGGGCATTAAAAGCAAGTCAGAACGGGTGCAAGTAAGAAAAAGAAGAAAGGCTAATGAAGGCATTAAAAACGTAATTTGAGCATAGCCAGGCATTAGTGGGCAAAAAGTGAAAAAGTAAAAATGAAAAAAAATTGTAAAAAACTAAATGAATCATGCAATGGATCAAGCGTAAAACAGTGTTGTTGGTGTCAGAAGTTGTTTTTCACTTACCTTCAATGTCCTCCTGCAGCTCCTCGACCTTCGCCACCAGGGCTCGGTTCTCCTCCCTCAGCGCCCCATTCTCCGTCTCCATCAGCCTCGTCTGGCCCTTGGTCCGCTCCAGCTCCAGCGAAATGTCGCCCATTGCAGTGACACTCTGCTTGGTGGCCGTCAGCTCCGCCTCAACCCTCCGCCGGTAGTCCTCGTACTGCTCCTTCACACTGCTCATCTCAGTGGCCGTCTTCTCCACCGCCTTCTCCCGCTCCTCTACTACCTTCTGGTACCGTTCTGCGTCCTTTGCAAAGTGATCCCGTTCCGCCTCCACCTCGGCGGCCTTGTCGCGCACCTTGCGCAGCTCTTCGCTCAGTGTTAGCGTTTCCTTCTTCGAGTCGGTCAGCTCACGCGTCAGTTTCGCCAGTTCTGACTGGAACTCGTCTGAAGTAGTGAAAAAATGATTAGTTTCAATGTGTCAAACTGTTAAACAAAAGGCAGTAGTCAAACCTCTAGTCATCTCCTGCGCCTGGTTGATGGTGTTCACCTGCTGGCTGAGCTCCTTCAGCTGCGTTCGCAGCTCTTCCACCAAACGCTGCTTCTCTTCGGCGTCGCTTCGAGTCAATTTCAGCTCGTTCTCATTCGCCTGCACCAGCTTCTCAACGTCGCGCTCCTTTTGCTCGAATCGACTGATGACGGACTTTTGGTTTTCAATGTCCACCTAGAGTAGATTTGCGTGTGTGTGTGTTAGGTTCATCAGCTGAAAGAACAAACACATTCAAATAGTATTCATACCCTCAGACTTCTAATTTCATTCTCCTTGCTCTCCTTATCTCTCAGCAGCGCCTCAATTTCCGACTCCATCTGCCGCTCTCGCCGGTCAAA